TAGAGACGTCAACTTTTTGAAAGCCATAGATAGGCCTAAATAAAATGTTTTTAACTGTGTACCAGTTTAACGTTGAATATTATTTGTTATATCAACTTTATACACAAGTACCAAAATACTATAATTGCTTAAAACATATTGGGGTTTTATATAAGTGAAATAATAACCTATTTGAAAATTTAAAATAAGCAACATATCTGAATCCTTTGTTCATTATAGAGTAAAATTATAATCTTCTAATATGAAATGGAAGAATGCCTGAAGATTAATTATGAAAGCAAAATCTATAAATCTAATGAAATATATGAAAAAGAGTAATCTTAGCAATGTGCTCTCTGGTGATGATAACTTGATCATATGATGTCACCTAGCAGTGCATCCCCTAGTGTTGATGACGTACTAGTAATTAAAACCATTAATTTGCATATCATTTATGTATGCATGTTAATTACAATCTTTAATTAATAAACCATTAATTTACATATCATTTATGCATACATGTTAATTAAAACCTTTAATTAATAAACCATTAATTTGCATATCATTTATGTATGCATGTTAATTACAACATTTAATTAATAAACCATTAATTTGCATATCATTTATGTATGCATGTTAATTACAACCTTTAATTAATAAACTATTAATTTGCATATCATTTATGTATGTATATTAATTACAACCTTTAACTAATAAACCATTAACTTGCATATCATTTATGTATGCATATTAATTACAACCTTTAATTAATAAACCATTAATTTGCATATCATTTATGTATGTTAATTACAACCTTTAATTAATAAACCATTAATTTACATATCATTTATGCATACATGTTAATTACAACCTTTAATTAATAAACTATTAATTTGCATATCATTTATGTATGCATGTTAATTACAATCTTTAATTAATAAACCATTAATTTGCATATAATTTATGTATGCATATTAATTACACATTCAGCTTTTATTGTTTGTTTGTTTGTTTTGGAATTTCGCGCAAAGCTACACGAGGGCTATCTGCGCTAACCGTCCCTAATTTAGCAGTGTAAGACTAGAAGGAAGGCAGCTAGTCATCACCACCCACCGCCAACTCTTGGGCTAATCTTTTACCAACGAATAGTGGGATTGACCGTCACATTATAACGCCCCCACGGCTGAAAGGGCGAGCATGTTTGGTGGGATGCGGATTCGAACCCGCGACCCTCAGATTGTGAGTCGAGCGCCTTATCCACCTGGCCATGCCGGGCTCTTTTATTGTTTCAAAAGTCAAGATAGTTTGAATGAAATTTTGATTAACCTGAGTTATGTTTCTTAAACGTTAACTTTCAATTTCACTAAACCTATGGAGCTATAAAAACAGAAAATATCGTTGAAACCGTGGAAATAAACATGGCTCGTGACATTCCTGTAACAGTTTTTTAAAATGGACTAATGTTCATTCTAAGAACACAAAAATTGGAGTTTTTACGTTCTAACGAAATTCAATCTGAGTAGTTAGCATGGCACAAAGGAGGCAGAAGTGATGAAAAAAAGGTTATATTGAAAGCTTCAAGTCCTTTAATATGATAATTTAAGATCCCAGAGCCACGTTCCAATAGGTAATGAAGAACCTTATATTTGCCCCTTAAATCAACGGAACCAAATATAGAACACTATGCAAATTATGATGGTTTCTAAGTAAAGCAGATAATATAGCGTCAATGTGATTGCTTTATGCACTGCTTATAAATATTACACGCTAGCTGGCCAGATAGCTGACAAAACAAATGTAGGCCAACAGTATCATTAGCTGTAGGTATTATTAATTCAAACACACCTTTTATTACTGATGAAGTAGACAGTATTTCAGGGTGAAGGAAGTAGTTTCTGTTGTCCCAAGGTTGCGCTAACAGAAGAGTTTAGGATTTTGTTGAATTTTAATAACAACCCAATTTTTCATTTATGTAAGTCAGTGATGGTCACCATATTTGCAACAGCTACAGAGCCAGTTCCCAAGATTGTTCACCTTTGTTTGCTAAAGTTAAGATCGTGAGCCACGTGTAATGCAAACCTTAGCAAATATCTGAATACTAGAAGTGACTGAGTTTGAATGAGGGAAGCTAGCAATGAGAAGTTTTTAACAAGAAAAAAAAGTCCAGGATAATTCATCTAGTCTTTGGATGTTCTTGCCTTCTTGGATAAAACTGAAAACACTTGAAATCTATGGCGGTATAATTCATACATTAACATTAAAAATGTTTCCAATAATTTGGTTAAGGAAATTGAATTTATTATTCAGAAAAAAAAAGAAAGTGAAAAGTACTACTTGTAAGTTTAATTACATTATTTTCAGAGGACATTATATCGTACTAATTGTAAGTTTAATTACATTACTTTCAGAGGACGTTATTTGGTATTAATTGTAAGTTTAATTACATTGCTTTCAGAGGACATTATTTGGTATTAATTGTAAGTTTAATTACATTACTTTCAGAGGACATTATTTCGTACTAATTGTAAGTTTAATTACATTATTTTTAGAGGACACTATTTCGTACTAATTGTAAGTTTAATTACATTATTTTCAGAGGACGTTATTTGGTATTAATTGTAAGTTTAATTACATTATTTTCAGAGGACATTATTTGGTAGTAATTGTAAGTTTAATTACATTATTTTCAGAGGACATTATTTGGTAGTAATTGTAAGTTTAATTACATTATTTTCAGAGGACATTATTTCGTACTAATTGTAAGTTTAATTACATTATTTTCAGAGGACATTATTTCTCCAACATATGTGCAAGACTAATTCTTAATGCCGTCTACAGACGTCAGTATGAATGATCGGATAGATTGTATCACTATTTCTGCAGATATCACACGAAGCCAATGAAGAAGACAAGAAATGGTCGAATAGCTTTCTTAGTAATCTCGATCCAAGGTGACGATATTTGTGTACTGTTTGCGTGTTGTGGTATTGCGTAGCGATGTTGGTTTTTATTCAGCTCTTATAAAATGTAACATATAATAACTTAGTGTGTTTAACTCAAATTGCAGGTTTTAGATTTGAAACATTTGCACATAACAGTGTGTTCATGGCATCGTAAGTTGCAGGTTTGAAATTTGGAACACGTGTAGTGGAGCACATAACAACAACAAAAAAGCGAAATATTTAACATAAATTAAGAAAATTTTACATTGTACCTTCACGGACATGGCATGAAAATGTCCACTCGCGTGTGTGAATGAACAAGTGCAACGGCTACCGGACCGAATTATACCGCGGAACTAATGTGGACTTCATCCACGACTCTCAAGAAGTAAACCAACAGTCAAAGAGGGAGGTAGAGGTCAAGGGTGTACCTGATCCTCTCAGGTCACTTGATCAAAAGAATGACCAGAGAGATCAGCACATAACTGTGTATTCGTGGTATCGTAAATCGCATGTTTTAGATTTGTATCTTGTACAATGAGAAATAATAACATTATGTGCTTCCATTACAGACAGTTACATTTAAATCACTAGTCACTTTTCATTGTTTGTTCACTAACTCAAACATGTATTTAATTGTTGTTGCCTTTTAAACATTTTTAGCAATACCTTTATTGTGTATGAAATTAATTCTTGATGTATAATTTATATTATTTTTAATCTACTCTACTATCCAATTTTCTCCATACCTCCAACTACAGAACCGTTTCAAATTAGCTTCATACGTTTTAATAAATCGTTTTGAAGCAAACCAGTCAGTGCTATGGCAAGAAATAACAAAAACCTATTCACCAGGAGTCTTGCAAGCGGTTGGCTTGTTTGTTTGTTTTTGAATTTCGCGCAAAGCTACACGAGGGCTATCTGCGCTAGCCGTCCCTAATTTAGCAGTGTAAGACTAGAGGGAAGTCAACTCTTTGGCTACTCTTTTACCAACGAATAGTGGGATTGACCGTCACATTATAATGCCCCCACGGCTGAAAGGGCGAGCATGTTTGGTGGGACGGAGATTCGAACCCGCGACCCTCAGATTGTGAGCCGAGCGCCCTAACCACCTGGCCACAAGCGGTTGGCAAGCAATCCCTGGCCACTTCTGATGTTTCTTGTAAGATACTGATGCGTGTGATTTACCATGTCAGTCTTTGAAACAAGACTTTATTGCAGTTTCTGAAAAGCTAACGAACCAGAAAAGGAGATGTGATCAATAGTGTGTAAGTAGCTATGGATTTTGTTTCCCACTTCCATGAAAACTGAGGACTGCAGAAACTGATAGGCTCTTCATTTTCATATACAATAGGATTCAAATATGTTATCAGCTTAGCTCTAATTAAGTTATCATATGCGGTCATTGAACCCTTTAAAACATTGACGTCCTTTTTTTATTTTAGGCTTAAAGTGATACTTAACTAGTTAATTTTTCTGTACATTTTCTGCAAAAAAAAATAGCTTATAATTTTTTAAATGCCTCCAGTATGTCAGTTTTACTTCCCAAAGATAATGTTAACCCGAGGGAAGATTTTCACGTGTAAAGTTATAATTACTTTAAACAGTTTGTTTGTTTGTTTTGAATTTCGCGCAAAGCTACACGAGGGCTATCTGCGCTAGCCGTCCCTAATTTAGCAGTGTAAGACTAGAGGGAAGGCAGCTAGTCATCACCACCCACCGCCAACTCTTGGGCTACTCTTTTACCACCGAATAGTGGGATTGACCTT